TTCTAGGAAATTTGGCTCCAAGCAAAGATTGATAAGTGCTTAGCAGAGTGCAGTCTTTTACCAGCTGTTGCTAAGAGACCTTTGGGATGTGTGAAGGGTCACTCAATTCGCTCCACAGCTGTTTCTTGAACTTCAACAGTTATCCATACATAATATTGGGTAAGACTGCTACATGGATAAATCCTTCAACATTGTTTAGATTTGGCAGCTGTGGGCAATGCCCAGTTTGGTATCAAATAATCCTTGCATTTGATCTAATGCATTTAGCGACACAACATCGCAAAGTGCTTCAAGGAGAATTGCCATTAAGTGTAGTGATTATGTAGATGTAGGAAAACACATCAATATTCCACAAACAGCCATGAGGTGAAAAATAAATTAATCAGGCAGATTGTTGCTCAAGACACCGGGAGAAACTCCTTTCTCTTGTTGAATAGTGCCATGAGATCTTTAACAACCACTTAAACAGGTAGATATTTCAGTTTCCCATTTCATCCAAAGCATACGGTCAACAATACAGCATTTTCCCCCACAGCTGTAAAGGAATGTTATCCTGAACAATGAGTTCAAATTCCTAATTAGAGGCTTGAACGCATCTGCTCCAGAGGCGAGAGTGCTACCAACTAAGCCAAGTTGACACGTTGTCTATTTTGTGGAGTTCTGTAGTGTGGTTAGTGCGCTCGCCTCGCAAGCGAGAGGACCCGGGTTCGATTCCCTAGCGGGGCTAAACCAACAAAAACAAAATTACATTTATATAGCGCCTTTCACATTGGAAGGACGTCCCAAGGCGCTGGACAGACAGAGTTACGGACCCGAGCAAAGGGTTGGGAGGGGGGAGGGCAGGGGGGAAGCAGGGAGATCAAAAGCACGGTTGAAGAGGAGGGTCTTGAGGCGGGCCTTGAAGGTGATAAGGGAGGGGGCGAGACGGATGGATGGATGGAGTTCCAAAGGGTGGGTGCAGAGTGGCAGAAAGCCCACCTGCCAATAGTGGGACGAGCAAGGCGGGGGACATGAAGCAGGCCAGAGCCCGCTGAGCGGAGGGAGCGAACAGTGTGGTAGGGGGCTACGAGGTCGGAGAGGTAGGGGGAGCAAGACCATTGAGGGCTTTGAAGGTGAGGACCAGGATCTTGAACTGTATCCTCTGTGTGATGGGAAGCCAGTGGAGTTGGGCAAGGATGGGGGTGATAGGGTCGCGGAGCCTAGTGCGGCAGAGGGCATGAGCTGCAGAGTTCTGGATGATCTGCAACCTGTGGAGGGAGGAGTAGGGGAGGCCGACAAGCAGTGAGTTTGTATAGTTGAGCCTCGATGTAATGAAAGCGTGTATGAGGATATTTATTATGTATTGTGGTGTATTCCCATAGGCAAATTTCCTTAGTCCACACGTCTCTGTTTACCTAGCAGTAAGATGGAACCCAGTTGTTAGTCGATTGGCGGATCACTTTCCAGGGCTAATAATTCCTCCAAAAAAATAATAATGTGGTGTCTCAATCCATGACTGTGCATCATTGCTGTGCGCAATTGACTGACACATTTTGCCCACAAAATACAGTCAGTCCCCTTTACTATATACTGTGAAACGCTTTGAGACATCTCGATGACATTATAAGTCACTATTTCAAATGCAAGGATTATTATTATTAGAAAGGCTTTGCTTTTACTTGGTCTTCAGCTACCTGCAAGATTCCAACACCACTCCACTTGATAGAATACTTGGTCCAACTCACGCACTATGTGGAGGATAGCTTGATTGAATGAGAAATCATTACTGACGTTTTACAGTCTTTATTTTTCAAATTAAATAACATGTAATTTCATGAAAACTTTTACATCCTCTTGTGTAATCTTCTGTGACAGCGGTTCCAAATAAAAAAAAGGAACAAACTGAATGCTGCAGTAAACAAGCCTGCATTTAAAATTGGGGGGAGGAAGAAAAGTCTCTTTCAGAATGGCTATTCAAAGCAACCATTATTAGGATGTCACATGCAGACTCTGTGAACATTTTAAATGCACCTTCAATATTGATTCAGTGTAAGAACTGGATCAAATCAACCTGTAAATGTTTGCTTTTAAGAAGAAATTCCTTTTTATTGCTGATTTTGGTGACCAGAAGGATTATATTCACTCTGCAGAGTAATCTGTGAACACAAAGCTTGGAATTTTCATGAACAGAATAATGGCTGCCTACAATTCAGCATTGAGACCAGAGCCATCCACTTTAAAATGCAAGNAAAAAAACTTGACGTGTTAACAACCACATGGTGGCAGCAATAACCTTTTGTTGAAACATCTATAAATTTCAGGTTTGGTTTTTCAGATAATGGGGAGAAATTCCATCCAATTTGCTCTACATTTGTAGCATTCGTGAGCATCCAGAATTTGGCCTATTGTTAAATACAGCTTCAGTTTTGAAGCTAGTTTTGTATGAAGAACTACAGAAAACAATTTGACAAAATTCAGGACAGTAGTCAAAGTCAGAAGTTTTATATCCCCTTTTTTACTAGAGAAGCAATATGATATTGTTTCCAGTAGAAGAGCGATTTGAAGCAGCTCCAGATACATTATCTGCTTCAAACTGCTTATCTCTAGGGCTAATGAGAACTTGTTTTTAGCTCCATGTGTGTAGAATTGTGCAAACGGGCAGTTCATTTATAATGTTGTTAAAAAGTCAGGAGTGTGATCTGCCAATTAATAACAGTAAACCTTTATGACAATGAATTGTTCAAGAACCTTTAAACATAAAAGTTTCATGTTTTAAAGTTTGTTTGAAATTCTAATAAAGTAAAACTTGTTTTATGTACTACACCTTCAGTATCGATTTAAGAGCCATATATACCTCATCAAGTCAAGACTAACAGATTAGAATAAACCAAGTATTGAATTCATAATCTTTTGAGACTGATATTTGGAAAATATGTTTTATGACTATATAGTTATTAGTCTATAATTCTAAGAATGTTTTCAGAAGCTGCTGGTATTCACGCTGGCAATCCCTTGTTGACACATAAGGAAAGCTGGCAAAAATAAAGGCAAGCTGTAAAAATAAGTCTCAGGAGATATGTACTGCTTTGAAATAAAAAACATCTGCACAATCAAATGAACAGAGAGTGATTTAGCACTGCAGTAATAAAATGAATTGCAAAAATCTGCCAAAATCCACTTACATCACATAACTGGCAGAAGTTCACAGGTTATGAAAAAGTTTAAATATGGTACTTTGACCAAATTAATCTGTCTTTTTTTAATGCCCTATTTAATTTCAGTGTGACCAGCCACTGTGTACATTAAAGTATAAAAACAGGTGTGACACGAGGGAATTTAAAAATCAACTTTTTATTTAAGATGCTTCGTAATGAGTTTTGTTTCTTCTCCACATTAGGGACCTCCTCTGCTACCATCAATCAATGATTTTAGTTCTATGCTGATAAATGAGCAAACTCAGTGATCAACTTCCTTCACATCGCACACCATCAGTGTACATAAGCTTGATTCTATCGGAAGTGTAATAACTGAATCACTAAACCTTGATTTCAGTCACGCAATTTGCATAGAGCAATTCAATTCTTGTAAATTTCAACTCTTCAAAAGTTTCTTGATGTTCCTTGGAAGTCCAAAGGCTGCCATGGCTGTTCATGGCTTCACTTTTAATTCTCTATCTATCAATAATCTTGGCCTCAATCTCTATTATGACTCAAATGGAACTCTCACATCTCTATTGGTGAAGGAGCTTTTTTTAAGTCAAATACTGTGTTTCCCTACAACAATTCGTATCTCTTTATACGACCCATAATCGGTGCAAGGCTTGATTATTTTTGGACAGGTCACAATAAAAATCGGTTTCTCACATCCAACCTTCAATGTCCATCTCACCCTTTCTGGCCTTTTATTTGAGCTAATCTGCACCTGATACTCTCTGGAATTGGATAAGCAGAGTGTATCTCTACAAGGAGAATGTGCAATCCATTCCAAACACAGGGAAATTTTACCCACAAAATACACAGACAATCCACTGTGCAGTATACTCCTTGAAGTGCTTTGAGACATCTTGGAGATGTGATAAGGCGCGATATCAAATACAAAGTTTATTATTACATGTAGTCGGAATACATAGATGGAACTCTCAATTTCGTCTAAAATTAATTTTGGTTGGGCAGAAGATGAGTTTTGCCCCTCCTTGGCAGATGAACCCTGTAAAATAAGTGTTGACCAAAACATACAACCCTAGAAATGAAAAATGCTTGCTTCAAAATAAAAAGAGCTGGATTTGAAAAAGAACAAACTTTTTACTGGGAGGGGTGTGCTGCCACCTAGTGGAGGAAGGTTAACACCGGTGATAGTTAAGGAGTACCACAAGTGTTTCTCCCTCCAGGGAGAGAGTGCGCATTCCATTCCCACAATCTATCTCTGGAATTTCCATGTGTAGGTGGGATGCATGGAAATCTCAACTTGATTTGGATCCTCTTAAGCATGGTGATGGGTTTCCATATGTGTCAGATGGCCAGCTGACCAAAAACAAGTTTCTCCTCAATTTCAGTAATGCAATGAACATTGTTCTTCCAAATGTTTTCCGTAACACAATTGAACACATTCTTCTCTTTGTATTTTCAGTGTGCTAAAATCAAGATTCATTGTACCACCATTTTCCAAATTATTTTTTCACAGAATTTCATGACCTGGATTCTTTATTGCTCTGCCTTTCCTAACTGCTTTGAGCTTTTTTGATGTGATAAGGTACTACAAAATTGTAGGTGCTTCATTTCTGTTTCCTCCTCCAGCAATGCACCAATCTTTGAAAACCAAACTTGGCTTTACCAATTGACTTGACTTGTCTTTCTTGTTTATTCTTTTCAACCTTTGTGATGGCCCTGCCTTTCACTCTTCGTGTAGGTTTCTCAATTTTTCCACATAGCTTAAACTTAATTAGAAGAATATCAACAACTATTGTTAGTCTTGTTCATTTTAGAATCATAATGTTAAATAGCATCTATCTTTTTGCTTTTCAGTCGTGCCAAGGTAGTTCGTCTAATTGGGTTGTTAGCCTGTCACACAACTGAACTGAAGGATGATGTACAAATTTCAGAGGTAAGATGCTATAAGATCATTTAACACTAAACTTTTAATGAGTGTAGTTTAATTTAGCTTTTTACATCCAAAAGAAAATATTTGATTGGATAGATTCAAAATGAAGATATTCCATTTCTTTTTGATGAAAATTGCCATGTTCTGAGATGTGTTACCACCAATGGTCCCAATTAACATCAGTGAATTTAACAATCTTATAATAATCAACACATTGACTCTTACCCGTCTGTGCTTCAATGAAGCCCCAACACACCTTCCCAATGAGAAGATGGTTTGCCCAAGCTTTGGATTTCATGAGATAATGGTTTTAATTGAATTTTTTGTGTTAACTGGCAATCCAGTTCTGCAAGATGAAAGTCCCAACAGTTCAGTGTTAGTTAACATTACAATATTGCAATTTTCACCCTATTGTGAGTTTGATCCAGCATTTATTCATTTTTGGAACTTTAAGACAATCTCAGTCTTATTCTGCATTGCTGCACCTACTTTTAGTTGGAGACTTGTTAAGTAAAAAATATGATCCTGTTCCATCATCTTTCACAAGTTTAGTATATTTAGGTCTCGTTTCACGGCGACAGCTATTGGCAGAAAAGGAAAGCATTTAAAACCAAAGGATTTGGATATGATCGATAAGATAATTGACAGTCATTTGTAAAATAGAAGCGTAGGGCTCTGAACTGATGAAAGAATGTTACAGTAATTATTGAGCACTGACAAGATAAGGCAATTGAAATGATTGCTATATCAGTAGATGGACATCTCTTGTAACAAATGAGAAGTGTATCACAAGTGATATCCTGAAGTAACTAGTGTTTGTAATGATATTTTATGCTTCATTTGTGCAAAATACATTCTGTGATTATTCACATCAGTACAATTTTACTTTGCCAAGAAGCTTATGTTTTTTTTGAATGGTGAATTAGCTCTTTGCAATTCCAAACTTGTCAGTTGAAGTTGCTGTTTTACTAAGTTTGTGTAACACTAATGTAAACAGGTCCCTCCTAACCTAGATATTATCACTTAATATTCAGCCAAAAAGCTGTATAATTTAATACTCTAAATTCAGCAGTTTCTCCTAATATCAATCTTCTGAAAAGAAACCTCCACTTATCTTGAAATATAATGTCCATATTTACACCAAATAACAGTAATCCTTGCATTTCATATACTGTAATGCCTTTAGCATTCAAAAGTCTCAAAATACTCCACAGGGAATTGCAGTAATGTGTACTGAATGCAGTATTTGTAGACACAAATTGGAACCATTTTGCATACAGCAAAATCCCACAAGGAGCCATTCTCTTTTTGAGAAAGGAAAGTGAGTCAACGTTTCAGGTCCACAACCATTTGTCAGAACTGGGGCTTGTTGGGAGGGAGAGGCTTTTAAGGGCTAATAGAGAGGGGGTGGGGGGTGGGCAGAGCAAGGAAGACAAAGGCGAAAATGGGGTAGAGGACAGGGGATGATGGGTTGAACAGGTGTTAATGATGCAAAACAAAGGGGGGGGGGTATTGCAACAAAGCTTGTTGTGCATCTTCAACACCTCTTCAACACCTAGTGGAAGAATAACATTGCATTGTAATTCCTCGTAGAACTGTTCAACGTTTCTTTATTCGTAGAATACTCTAAATAGCATTCTGTATTTTAGTTAATAGGAAAATGTCACTGTGGTTTTAAAAAGCTATGTATATTATTTACATCACATTTTTAAATAATATATTCAGTCAATATATTAAATCTCCAGTATCCTATGACCTGGAGTAGTTATATTTGTTTTTCCCCATAATTGACGTTTTGGAACTGTTATATATGTCCTTGACCAAGACAGCTTTTCTCTATCATGACCTCTATCATGGCCCCACTCCCAAAGAAGTTGAAACTTTCGTCCACACCTTAGTTACCTCCAGACTTCTCAAATGGCATTTGATCCTCCACAAATTCCAGAGTTCTGCACCCAGATCCTCTCCCACACTAGGCTCTGCATGCCCATCACCCCCTTCCAGGCTCCCTGACTATTGGATCAGCTTCAAGATCTTCTTTCTTACTTTAAATTCCTTCCTCATCTTTCCCTATTTCTGCAATCTCCTCCAGCCCTACTATCTATCCCACTCACTTCGCTTTGCAAACTCAGGCCTCTATTTCCTCGCCTTTTACTGCCTCATCATTCTGAGCTTACAGTACCTATGCACTCCCCACCCCAACTCTCTTTCAAACGTCCCTCTGCTTTGTTCTTTCCCTTTTTCCAAACACCTACTTCAGCCACCTCTTTCCTATCCTACCTTTCTCTGGTTTCTACACCATCCCTGTTAAAACTTACAAGATGTTATCTTATGGAAAGGCACCATGTAAATACAGGTTTTTCTTGTTCATAATTTTAACATCAACTGGAAGTGATCATAAATTGTTTCCTTATAAGGTGGAAATTTGAAGGGAGGCCCCTCCTATTTCTCCTGTCCCAACTGTTTTTGTATATATCCTGACAGTATATTATAGAGCAGCAAAACTTGCCTACCCTCGATTTTGATAGACATATTGTTGTACACAATTTGAGTAGGAAAAAAACAATATGCTTGTACATATCACAGTTGTAATGAACAATATCTATTTACATGCCAGCAGGTTGAAAATGTCAACCTCTACAATATATATATTTTCATATGTGAAGGGCTAACATGGATCCTGGTGATGATAATCAATTTGGGACAAATACAAACGATTCTCACACAATTGCAATATATGACTTTCGGCCTGAATGACTTCTCTTTATGTCATTGCTGTATAATCAGTTTTTCTGAAGTTATTTATTTTGTGTAGTACATAATCCAGGGTAATTAAACTAAAAACCACATTAAAAGAGATGCATTATGAAAGAAAATTGGATTAGTCTGGAGCCTCAGGTGTCTTGAGCTTTATGTTCAATTAATCATTACTTTTCAAAAGAATTTTTGTTTAACTTGAGCCTGGTTGCTTGTACTCTTTTTGTGACTTCAGCCTGTGTTTTCACAGCTGCTCATCACATGCTGCAGTAGTTCTCTACTTGCAAGGGTAGGCAAATGGGTCAGCACTCCAAAACAGCCTCAAATCCCTTTGCCATTGTATTACTAGTGAAAGGTACCTCTCTGTTTGATAAATTAATTGCACAGTGGCCCAATTTCCTTATGACCTAGGAACCAGATTTAAATAGGAATACTTACAAATAAATCCATTCAAGCATCAATTTCCAATCGGAGAGAAAACCTTGTGGTATGGACCAGGTTTAACCTTTCACTGTAAGATATAACTATTAATTTTGATTTTTATTCTTGTTGTGGAACTGGTATTCGAAACATGCACAATATGTGCATGAAAAGGCTTAATCGTTTCTGACTGCATATGCAAGAGAGAGTGAGCAAACAGCAAAACAGAAGGTTCTGTGCCAATAATGGTTGTCAGAACCATTTAGTTGTGTTGTGCCAAGAGGGTCATTTTTAAACTATTATAATACATATTCCTACATTCTGCACACAGGCAGAAATCCCATCTGGGTTTAGATTTATTCTAATGATGTAGCATTTTAGACTGTCCAGAAATTGGCAAATTGTTGAATTCAGTCTTCCTTTTGAAGACTATATTCTGTAGTTCTTAACATAACTTAGTGTAATTGGGGATTGCTCAAGAAGTGACATTAGCAACAGTTCCTGGACATGGCATCCATACACAATGTGCAGCAAGTGACATCAGCGATGCTTCGTGCACATTGTGTGCTCGTGCACAAAGTGTCATCAGTGGCGATCTGATGACCCAAAAGGCAGCCTGTTTCATAGTGTGGGAAACCAGCTAATATTCTTCAAAACCTGCATCCAAACACTAACTTGCTCAACTTTTCCTCACCTTGTAACATTGCCCACCTTCAACCACTACCTCTTCCCTGCTGAGATCCTCATCCATGCATCATTACATTCAGGCTCATTTATTTGAACACCCTGCTCACCGTTTTCTCTACATCCTCCCTACATAAGTCTATCCAGAACTCTGCAGTCTGTGTTCTCTTCTACAGCCCGTGTCCTCTCCTGCACGAGGCTCAGTGACCCAATCACTCCCATCCTCCCTCATCTCCACTGGTTTACCATCCCATAGTAGAACAAATTCAAGTTCCTTATCCTCACTTTCAAGTCTCTTCGTGGTTTCACCCACCCTATCTCTGTGACCTCATTTGACCCTGCTGTCTCAAATGCACCCTCTGCTCATCCTGTTTCATGTTCTCTATCCAATCTGCCCCACCAGGAGCAAGCTTTCAGCCATACTGCCCTGTTCTCTGGAACGCCATCCTGGAGTTCCTCCACCTTGCACCCTCCCTCTTTCAGGGCGAAACCTTGGGCAAGTTTCCTTACTCCGCATAATAATTATCCCTCCAAAAAATAAAACAATAATAAATTGGTCATTTTTAATCTACGACTGTTTGTGGAACACTGCTGTGCGCATTTGAAGTTATTTATTTTGTGTAGTACATAACTAGTGAAAGGTTTCACCCACAAATATACAGTCAATTCAACATATTCTGTGAAGCCCTTTGAGACGTCTAGAAGATGTGAAAAGCACTATATCAAATGCAAAGATTATTATTAGTAGTAGTATTAGCTTTTCAACCACTTCTTCAGCCACCTTTCCGCCTCTCTTCACCAGCTCGGACTTCCAATCACCTTTATGAACTGTTTTGAGATGTCCTCGCTATGTGAAAAGCGCTATATAAATGTAAATTGTTGTGGATCTAAAACGGATAAACAAATTGGATTTTGACTGGCAATTTGAGAAAGCAGCTGGTAAATCTTTTATTGCATTTTGGAATCATCATTTATTTATATTTGGTAAATTATGTATATACTTGTCTTATTGGCGTATTTATTTTTTAAAATAAGTATCAGGATTATTGTATTGAACACCTTTTTGTGAGTATACATTAGATAGATAGATTTTATATTGTTTACTTTGAAACAAAGACCAAGGATCTAGGTGTAACATACTG